GTGTGTGTGTGTGTATGTGTGTGTGTGTGTGTATGTGTCAATGAAGCATAGAGAGAAGAGGAAATGAGTGATAAAAGATGGAAAGCAATCATGAAGTATTCACAATTGCTTACTAGCTTACGGTATTTGTATTGGCTATCCGGATATTGTCATCCCTCTTCAGATCTGATCCGCGTTACCTTCTTCTTCAAATCCTTTCGTTTGTACATGTGTCATCATCATCTTTAGCATCTCGTCTTTGCTTGAGGCAATCTTGTCACAGATAAGCGTCTATTTGTTTAGCACCAATCATTCCATTCCTCTTTCACACTAATTTTGTTCTATTTATTATACAGAAAAAAAAAGATCATTTGAAGGAAATGGCAGCCATTTCATTGCACCTCAAAATGTCCGTAATTTTGTTTGTTCTGTTATCTCTTTCAGATGGCATCCAATTTTCTCATTTAATATCATTTTTCATTTACAAATACTTATAAAATACAATGAACAAATATGCTATTATAGCGAATGATGCATTCACATGAATCACGTAACATGCTAACTTACGTCATTGATACTTAAGTAAAAATTAAAAGAGCTCTTGTTTTAAACGAATAACTTTTTTTAATACATGTACAAATGTTGGACTATCGATGAATACTGAAAGGAGGATTACTAATTTACCTAATTAATATCCTTTTAGCGTAACAGAATTAAAATTATTCATCTTAAATAAATGATTCAAAATTATATTTTGTTATTTCAAACAAAAATATTTTTAAAATTTGAACCTTCTCAAATAAAAATCTTTTTCATTTTTTGGTTATATTTCAATGAAAATATTTGACCTATTTGACTTAAATTCGATCGTAACACATAAAACTGTTTTCTGGCTATCATTTGCAGAAGTAACAAGACGACCATTTAGCATTGCTAATCATCTATCACTGTCATTTTTGCAGGCATAGACGTGTTGTCAACATGTCCTTCCTTATTGCCAACTAATCATTCAAGGTCAAATAAATAAATACCGTATTTTCTGCTTACTGAATGTAAATTTCTGATGCATACATCCTGAAATACTTCGGAAATAATCAATTCAAGATATGTCAATAAAGGCAAAAGTTTTTCTCTCTTTTATTTGTTATACGATAATATCGAAATAGTCAGTATGCAGAGCAGCTGAAGCTGAAATGCTTTACATTTATATGAACACGAATTAATGATGTAAGCCGCTTATAAAGCCATTACAACCGGGTCAACTAGCCACTTTTGCGGTTCCGGTCATCTGCTAAAGATAGCCTGAAGATTGTCGTTTATTTCGCACATCACTCAATGCTATTATTTGAAAATTTACATTTTCTTTCTTTCTCTTCTTTTCTATTGCACGCCAATTATATCATTTCAATGTCGCTTTAGTAGTATGAATGCATCATTCTCATTTCCGTTACGGATTAAGTAATACGGTTAGTAAGTGACATAAGTGTCACCTGCGATAGTTATGTGTGATATACTTCCGGAAGGAGCACCGATACTTTTATTTTTTCCATATTAGTTTTACACATTCAGTAAAATTTTTCATCAAAATTGTTATTAACAGCAAAGATGATCTTTGATTACGAATAATATATCCTATCAATTTAATGCTTTACATTTTTAATTATGAGTTAACATTGATGTTTCTTTAATTCTAAAATACTAAAGCCAAGGAATGAAAAAAAAACGTTTGATGCTGTCTGATAATTTTCAATTATTGAACTATTTTATTTCTCAGTAAACTTTAAAGAAGGATTTTTTTTAAAATTATTTACCATGCACGATTGTTATTATAATTTAATCAATTACTAAATGCTTTTCAATTAACATCGCTATTGCTTTGATTAGCACTGCTATCATATATTTTCGATATCATGAAAAAAATTTAAAACGTAAAAAATGAGAGAATTATGAAAGATTTTAATGAAAAAACAAGAAAAATGTTCGATGTGGTAAGACAATGCGCAATGTTTCATTGAATTTTTTTTTGTTAAAGTTTAAAAATCAAAAGATATTAAAATTTCCAGACTTTTCGGTGCAAAATGTATGCGTTGCGGTTTACCAGTTCAGTCTGCAGATTATGTCTATCGAGTATTTACAAGTATTTATCATCTTCATTGTTTTAAATGTTTTTGTTGTGGACATTTATTCAAAAAAGGTGACCATTATATGCTGGTAGATGGACAAATCATTTGCAGACCAGACTATGAACATTTCTTATGCCAAACACCGATTTTTCACTCTCACTGTAAGTTTTTCATCTGATACAAAATGATGTACTGTATCAGCGGATGAAGAATACATTAAGCAATAACTTCGAAATGAATAATTTTAAAAATTGCTTAGGATTCTCTAAATAAAATATTCAGGCCGATTAACTCAAAAAAAAGCCTGTACTTATGCATTTTTTTTTTAAATTTTTTCTAACATTAAAAAACTTTGACAATAACATCGATTGAGTCATTTATCAAACAATTTTCCATAAAAATTCAAATTTAATATTTTATCCTGTTCATACTTAGCTAGAATTTAATTATTTTTAATTCATTGCCTGTGGTAAAGATGAAATGTTAGTGTTTTAACGAATACTAAAATAAATTTAGTATATTTTGATCACAATGATTCGAATCGTAAGACGCCAAAAAGGCCACGAACAATCCTAAATACACAGCAGAGGAAAGCTTTCAAATTAGCCTTCGAGAAAACATCAAAACCATGTCGGAAGGTTTTGTAATCATTCAAAAAAATTTTCTTTTCCTCTTTTTTCATCCCTGCAAATTAAGATTAAATTCAAAGTTTAATTAATATCTTACGTTCAACGATTTATTTTAAACATTTCCAAAGATTTTGCTAAAAAAAGAACAAGAATCATGTTAATATAGTTAAGTTCATTCATCAGAAATGTTGATTACAGATGCGTGAACAATTAGCAAAGGAAACAAATTTAAGCGTACGAGTTGTTCAAGTTTGGTTTCAAAATCAGCGTGCTAAGGTAGAAATTGCAATTTACATATTTAATTAATTATAATTGTAATTTTCAAAACGAAATTGCATTCTTAAACAGATTGAGAGAAATGTTTTGCACATTTTGTAAGTTTTAAAAATATGAATCGATTTGTGAGATTCTCAAAACTTAGAAACATTTCCTGAAATTGATTTGGATGTAAAAAAAGATTAGACGGCTTTCAAAGGAACTGATTATTTTCAGATGAAAAAAATTCAGCGAAAACAGGAAGTATCAGAAGCAAACGATCCAGCTTGTTCAGAGATGGACATTAAATCCAATGATGAATTAAAATCCAACTGCGATTCTGCTGATGGTAGATAAATTTTAATTTATCAACTACGAAATTAAATGATGAAATATTTTTGAAAAAAGAAAACAGAAATGCAAAAAGATTTATAAAAGTTAAACTTCAAACGATATTACTTCGCCTATAATAAAATTGAAATGAATTATAGTTCATTGCAGCACTAATTTTTTCCCTTGATCAAATAATTTATGTGAGATGCATGTTTAAGTTGAAGTTTTTATAATGTTATCAATAATTGTTAGCAAAATTATTCCAATTTTTCATAATGCTTAAGAATGCTAATCAATTATTTTTGTTAATCGAAAATTTTTTCATTATTTTAACTTTTCCCATAATTTTTTTCTTTTTAAAAATCCAAAAATCATTTTGCCATATTCCGTTTAAAATTTCTGTATTACATGCAAATTGAAAAATTCTCCTTATCAAAACGGTGATGGAAAAATGAAAGCAATGTTAGAATGAAATTTCAGAATTAGATTCTGAGAACGATGATGTCGAAGTTGACGATATAGGAAGTAATGAAGAAAAAGGAAAAGAATTGAGTAATCCAATCGCTCAACTATTCCACATGCATGCTACTTATTTCTTAACGTGAAATATAATTTTAAAATGATTTTATTACTTGATATGTTAAGCGATGATATTTAAATATTAATGATATCAATGTAAATGTGAAAAGCAATGAAGTAAAGATTGATCACATGAGAAAAAGGAGAAGAAGATAGCGAACAATATTGAATCAAATAATTTAATTGAATTTCAATTTCGAACAAAAAATTTTGGAACTGAAAATTTGATCTGATTCATAAATTTGAAGGGAGAAAAATTGAGATATAAAAATTGGAAATTATTCAATTCTTCTAATTTACAGTGATATTTTAAATAACAATAAAAATTTGTGATCTTTTTTTACATTAAAAAAAGATTCGAATTTTAAAATAATCCATCAAAATCTTCTGTTTTTATCAAATCATAGCAAAAAAAAATTAAAACTTATTTTCACTTCATTTCATTAGCACCAAAAAAAAGTGAACAGGAAATTTTACTAGGAATGCTTAGCAAATTTCTGGTTTGTTGACGTTGAAATTTAGTATTCGATCACCGTTCTCACATAATACGTTTTTTGATACTTCTAAACAAAACTTTGACCAAATGATAAGTGATAGTGGTCATTTGTCTATGATAGTTTTACACAATTATAAGGTAATTTGAACGTATCTAAATAAGTTGAGGAATTTTTGTCATCTGAATTACGGAAAGTCGGGCTATTCTGAAATGTTTAACATCATTGGCCGTTAATAAACAACGAGCAGAGAAGTAACATGAAATTATTAATAGGGAGCAATTTAAGTTTTGTATTAATTTTAATACAAAATTTAAATACCAAAGATCACTAAATGATTATTGATAACGGTAATATCTTCGGAATATGAAATAAAAATAATATTGAGCTACTTGTGGTTACAAATATAGTTCAATTTATGTTTTACAGATTTTCTTCCTTTACTTCTCATTTTTTTTTTGTGTTTTTTAGATTGTGAATGTACTAGGCAAACATTTATGTGAATGATTTTTTATTTTTGAATTGAACTTGATGATTATGGCTATTCTGTTTCTTAGTGCTTGTCCACTTCAGTGGTCATTTAAAGCCATGGAAATGAATTTCCAGAAGTGGTTGATTTAATAGTTTTAATAGTTTGCGATATGTGTGTCGCGTGTCGCCATGGTAATGTCTTTCTACTTTGTCATCACATTCGTTTTCATTGTTGCTATACAACAAATGTTATTTTTAATCATGAAATTTCATAAATTTTCATATATTCGAAAAGTTCATAAATTCATAAATTTTCATAAAAGTTTATAAATTCAACTTTCAAATCAGAAGATATTTCAATGGTTTATTTTAACTAAACGGTACTAGAAATCATTTGCTAACAGCTGTCAGCAAATTTGATTTAAATGAGAGCCTAAAATTGAGAAAGTAAAAAAAAATGGATTAAATTTCGAGAGAGGTAGCAATTTAAAATTTCTCACCATACATCTTCCAAAATTTCTATCTGTCTAGGTTTAAAGTTGATGATCATTTTAGCTGTTCATTTTGTTTCGATCAAATTTAGGAATTTTCCGAAAGTTATTAAAACTTTAATTAAATTTAAGCTGGAATAACTTAAAAGAAATATGTTACGTACTTTGTGCCACTTTATATAAAATTGATTCTTGCATTTTGTCATCGTTAATATTAAATATCCTTTTGCTTATTTCATTTTGTTCCGGTCATTTCATACATCATGTTGAATTTACGAAAGTAAGTAATTTCTAAACGGAAACGGATGAATGAGTGCCGGGCAATTAAAACTGTCAAATTTCATTGTGCTTCTTAATGGACAAATCGATAGCGCCGAGGTTTTTTCTTCAAATACTTTACTTTTATGTAGTTGTATAATATTATCACTGCATCGTTTATTTATTTTTCGAGATTTCTATACTTACTATTTGCAAAATACTTCCATAGAATCTTTATGATTCGGATTCTTCAGTGAAAGATGAGGCAAAAGATTCTGAAAGATAGCGAGAAGCTTATGAAGAATGATGAACATTTTGAATAATAAAATGTTCTAATTTCTGCTAGCTTGTTTAAATTAGGCAAAACTATGTCCAGATTATATCAATAATCATTATAAGTGCTTATTTTTTTTAAATCGATCTATCATTTGCTAACATTTGAAATTAATTTATTAACTTTTAAAAAAGATATAAATTGTAGTTTCTCTCGTTCGACAGTTTTTACTGTAAATACTCATATGTATATGGTATTGATTGGAAGCAAATTGGTGGTGTTCATGAAGGACTTAGTGCACGATGTGAACGTGAACGTTCCAAAAATACTGAAATAACTGTTGGCATGCCGATTGAAGCTACTTTTATCTCAACAAATCCGTTTGGTTGTAAGTTTTTGCGTAAATTATTTTAGAAATTTTATAAAATTTTATATTCCTTATTTACCAGTTAATTAGAATATGGTACCTGAAGGTTCAGTGCTATAGAAGTGGTTGTTCTAGATAACCTGAATTTTAAATATTATTTCGATAGCATTAATAATAAACATAAGAAATAATTTAAAATCAAGCGGAATATCAGTTGCAATTTTTTTTTTCTTCAGTCAAAATAATTGAAATGTTCAAGTGAGATCAAATAATTAAAAACTCTGTTACGCTCTGTTTCTTTTTTTTTTCATTGACAAAACGTAGAATAATAATTTATTGTAAATGAAAGATAAATTGTTTGAATATCTGCAAATTATGAAATGCGTAGAATAGATTACTTCCTGTAGTATATTTCTTTTATTTTATATTAGCTTTGCATCTCTTTGCTAGATCATAAGTATTTGCATTGGAATATAATATCTAAGCTAAATTAATAAATAATTTATGCAGGGCCACAAATTGTACTAACTTGTTATGGGCCAGATTTCTTTGGCAATGATGTTATTTGTGGTTATGGAGCTGTGCATATTCCAACTGTTCCGGGAAGGTAATTTTCTACTTTCTACTAAAATTTGAAATTCATACTCCATAACAATTTATCTGATGCTTCATCAGATAAATTGACACGGAATATTGAATTTCAAATAGTTTTTCTTCAATGAAATGTTATGCTACTACCCGCATGTTTTAGACCATTCCCCCTTGGTCAGTTATCATTTTGAATCTCTGGTTGATAACTTTTATTATTAATTATTGATTATGAAAAGCTTGATAGTATGTATATAAAATGGAAGAGTAAAAGATATAACAAGTTTTCATTGCTCCTTTTACATAAATTTTATTTCATAAATATGGAAAACCTTACTGTACTACTAAATTCAACCATATAACTTCAATTTCAGTCTTTGAATATCTCAATTTTAGAACGGTTAGAAAGATAGCATTGTTTGTACCGGAGGCTTCCACATCATTACAACGTTTTATTGGATGGCTCACTGGGAAAAGAGCTGAATTTGTAGATTCGAGGATTGCTGCAGCAGCAGATGGCCGACAAGGTAAAAAATTCATGAAACTTTAAAAGCTATAGCTGCTCCTGTATGCACTGGACATTTTTAGTCCCATTAAGCTGAAAACAATTATGCGTGTTCTAACTTGTTCATTCTAAATTATGTTAAATTTGCAGTTACAAAAGTTAGGAGTCAAGGGATCATCACCATAACCATGGATATTGTACTTAAAGATATGAAGAAATACGGATACGACGTGATACCATCATCGTTATACAGGATTTCAGAGTGTCCCCTACCTGACTACACAAAAACATTTAATGAACAGGTTAATTCTGTCCGGTTATGATACTAATTCTATTATTTGATCCGTCAATATTAAGTTTAAATTATTCGCCAATTATTAAAATTGTTCACATTGAGGTCAATAATCAGTAAAGTCAACTTTATCTTCTTCCAGGTCCAAGTTCAGCAAGAGGAAAGACTAACAGATACAGTCACCAAACTTGAGGGAAAAATCACTGAGGATGAAGTTAAACCAGGACCATCAAACATCCCAGTAACACTACATGCTATGCCGTCTCGACCAGTTCCTATACCAAGACAGTCGACAGAAAAAACCATGGATACCGTCCAGGAAATCAGAAAGGAAACAACAGCCTAGAAATTACTTATATATATTAGCATCTTAGCGGTATTTTTGAATGAAATTTTTGATCAGCTGCCCTACTTAACTATTCAACATATACAGATCATTAAAATGTATTTGGTACTCCATTTGGCATAAAATTCCGTTTCATTTTCACAAATCCATTGGCAATTGTCCAGGAAAACTAATGATTTCTGAAACTGTGTCGCTATAATCTTCTAAAATTTAAGTGCTTTGCTAAATCTGTAATTTATGAGATGCTTAAATTATGATTCTCAACTTCGGTGATGGTTTCTAACATTTATATGATACAAAATTCACATCTCACATAGCACATTTCATCTTATAGCAATTAACAAGTTAGTAAAGTTATATGCAAAGCAAGAAATAACAAAATTTATTTCACAGAATTAATAACAAGGAAACAATATGTTTACATATCCAAAAAAATGTATACTCTATCCCTCACTTCTCGGTTGCTTTCGACTCCTTTGTTTCCTTGCTAGCAGCTGTCTCTTTTTCATTCTCTGAGATTTTACGTAAAGCTTCTGCTCTCTTCATTACTAAACGTTGCTCACGTCGTTTTCTCGACTCCTTATTTTTCGCACGACGTGCTTCTGCTTGTTCCCTTTAATCGTAAAATTTTTAAATAAAACACCGACTTTTGAAACAAATATTTGTTTCCTAGAACTCTTAAATTTCAACTAATGAAGTATCCATTGTTAAATCCCAAAAGTTGAGTTGAATTTTTCAACTCTAACAAAAGACTTAGGTTCTTTCAAATCGATAGAAAGACAGTACAAGGCAAAGAAATGCTTCCAAAGACTTACGCCAATTGTTTGGAACGTGTATTCTCAGTTTTCCTCTTGAAAATGAATTCCATTAAATTGCGTTTATTTTTGAATGCATTACCTTTAGCTCGAAGATAAAGGTCATGGTACCTGCGAAAGTATAAGGTAATGTAACAACAATTAAAAATAAATAGAAAAAAGGTCAAATTGTGATCTAACATATGATAGAAATTAAAAAACTTGATAACTGACAGATGTTTGTCGATCTTCTTCGCTTCACGGTAACGCTTCAGAAGATGACGAAGAACGCGCATTCGACGGATCCACAAGATCTTTTCCGGCATGCGTGCATTCCGCGTACCACGCCTCTTTCCATAACCCATGTGACGACCCTAAATCTGCCCAATTATGGAAAAATAACTATAACAGAACAGAGTTTTTGTTAATCTCCCCTATGTTCCAGCTTCATGATGGTGTATGAAAAAGATTAAAATGTATTATATCAGTTTTGCCTAAATATGTTAAAATTTTGAGAACATGGGAAAGCACTAGCAGACCTTTCTGCGAGCTTCCAAGTTTTTACGAGCGCGATATCGTGAATGAACTGCGATTGGCTTACGAATTATTAAACCATCCTTGACAAGCCGTCTGATATTCTGCCGCGAATTGGCGTTGGAAATTTCATTGATTTCATTTGGATCCAACCATACCTTTTTCTTACCACATTTCAGTACATCCGCGGCCAATCTTTTCTGAAGCCGCAGGCCACTGCAAAAAATAAGCCATTTTATTCATATTGCCAATTTATGATAAGCTAAAGAAATTGATCTGCAAAATCCTATGCTCGACTTTCAATCTTTGTAATTACAAGTTAAAACTTAATCCGTAACTCAATACTGTTATAATTTATGGAGCCTATCTTTCCAACACTATATTAACACTTTTTTTTCTAACACTATACTAACATTATATTAATGATATTTAAAATCCTGCATCAGTTAGAAAACCTAGTCAAACAATAGCGCAACAAACCTCATTATGATGTTCCTCTACCGGTCAATGAAAGAAATCACAGGAGCCTAAAAATGACGTGAATGAATAACAATGAATGATACAAACTGTGAACAGTGTTGTTAAGTGCGCGTGATGTGAAAACACTAAGAAAAGCAAGAAAAACCTAATACGAAATAGGTCAACCAAACTATAATTTAAACCTCTAGCTCGAAAAAAATAGTCTTTTTGTCTTCCTTCACAATGGCCAAGTGAGAACGAAACTTAACGGTATTCCATTATTATCAGGTCTTAAATAAAGATGAGAGAATCGATTTACGGAAGGTTTAATAACTGTTTTGTTTTTTTTTGGTTTAAAACGACAATTCGTTTCTTAGTCTAATCTAATTTAATCAAAATGGTCACCATCTTCACTCACTGAACAAAAGTTTAGAAAGCATTTAATATTTATTGCAGTACGGAAGATTGCAGAATGTAGCGAAAAAACTGGCTGAGTCATATCATGGAGGTCAATCAGGTAAATCAATCACGCTGTCATTCAGTTCAGAACAGTGTGCAGCTCATCACATCACTCGAGTACCCCAATCCTCAAACATATCCAAAATGACCTATGAACGCAACGCACCACACGACGCAACGCGCCCCATTTGAGATGAAGCCGTTCGTAACGGGCAACTCCCTGAGAACGCGCGATATTCAATTTAGAGGAATTCAATGATTCAAGGAGAGGTGCACTGAGAGAAGATGTGGTAGGTATGTATCTACCGATTTCCGATACACATCTCCCTGAAGCTACCGGAAACATCCTCCCCGATGGATTTATCTCCGTTGATTAGCACGGTTTTTGAAATCTCAGGCAAAAAGTTTCGATGTGATGATGTAAAGACGTACCTATACGTCTATTTGATTTAATATTTTCTGCTTGTTGCATTTATTCATTTAAATGAATTTGATTAAAATTATTGGATCGAGTTGATATTTCTTGTAGTAAGTCTTCCTTTCGTCGATCTATATGTTAAAGATATATCCAACTAATTACAAGATTAGCCAACAGTGTTTAAAACAATGGGGAGACTGAAGTTGAAATTGTTTCATGAAGTATTGAATTTTTTAAACACGGAATCTTTGGCTCTTTTTTTGTTTGTAATCCGAATTAGTAAGGTTTTGCAAATTCAAAATGCATATTTAGCTTGGTGGACGATAATAAAGGATGAGTAACGGTGTCTCCTCCACTGCTTCTTCCAAGGGAGAAAAGAGAGAAGAGAAAGATGAGATGTGTGCTTACGCACTTTTCCTTCTACCTTCTGACCCAAATTATTCCTCTGGATAGATGCATGAATTATTTATCTTACTCTTTTCGTATCATTTACGTTTTTATCGTGAAAAATCCTGAAAAATTTTATCTTTTATCCTGAAAAAAAAAATGATATGAAAGAAAGGAAGAGATGAAATTTGAGAATTGTTTTTTGTAATCTTTGAAGCCATCGTTTAATCTCTATTTTGCTAACTTTATCTTATTGCTTTATTTCTGTCGTGTATTTCAGGATCTTTAAAAGAGAGTAGAGATCAGTAAGGAATAAACAAATAGTGTTGAGTATGAAGTAGACCAATGAGGTGACGCTTTTTTTCATATCGAACATATTATCTTGATTTGAGCTGTTCTTTACATTATCTGTAGTTTTTTTCTAAATCAGAAGCAGAAATGAATTTTAGAGGTTATTCAACATTTCTAGAAAGTTTATTTTTCTTTTCCATGTTAATATGTTCTTTGTGAACTATCAAACTTATTCTACAGGTTTTTTTTTTCAGTTTCATTCTGTTAGTGTTTTTCGACAAAATTATTGGTCATCATCGAGACTGATTAATTAAAAATAAATAACGTTCGCTTATTCTTATATACGATTCATCGGTTAAAATAAGATTTCTTATTCTTTTTAGAATCGCTTGGGATTAAGAAATGTTTTAGTAATGGATCAGCAAGAATTACCAATGTCTTCAGGGGTCAATATAACAACTAATGAGCAGGAAAAAAAACAAGCTGTTGCTGTGGATGAAGAACTTACCAAAGAAAAGGTTACGATGGGGCGTAATACTTATGATGAGGAAGACTGTAGCTATATGCTACGTGTACTCGGTGGGTTTTGATATATGATATTTATTATAACTATGTCGATATACATGCTTTCATTGATTACTAGTACAGTATCAAATTCATTAATATATTAGATTTCAGAAAAGGATGCCTTCTCGACGGTTGTTTCTGCTTTCCGTGCTCAAGGAATGCTGAATGATTACAAAAGGATATTACTCGAACATCTGAAAACAGCTTTGTTGTACTTTTTTTTAAATATTATCCAATTTAATTATTGGCCAATCTGATGAATGATTATTTCATGATGTTGGCCTGTGATGGAATCTATATGTAGAACTGAGATGCAGTACACAATTTTTTCTTCCATGAACGTTTGATTAAGAAATCATAATTTTATAGTATATCTGATGAATCTTATCACGCTGAAATACGACAAGCAGCTAATGATGAAATATTGACGAAAATAGCCCAAACGTATGTCTTTTATGCTTAATTTATCCAATATATGCAGAATAAGTGAAAAGTGCCTAGTTTTGTGCTTGTTGGTTTTGTTTTTATTGTGAATGGAAGAATATTTGGTTATAACTTTTTCTAATGTTAAATCGGATTTATAAAGAAGAACGAGAAATTCTAGTATTTCATAATTATGTCATACCACGAAAATCAAGTTTTTTTCTTTTTTCTAGTTTGAGTCCATCGTATGATACATATGCACAGTGGGGAATCGAAGGCTTGGATCCAGTACCGCACTATGACGATGTGAGTTTCAAAACTGATGAATATGCGATGCTTAATTTTATCTCGAGATATTTCTATTTTCATTTGTTAAACTGTCGTCTAAATGCAACATATTTATCAAATATTGATTTTGTAATACTTGCGATTGTATTATTCGGCAGGCAAAATCGTTATATTTTATTACTTAGTTATTATTTTGAGATTCCCATTCAAGAGGATATTGGTGATGACAATAATATAGACCAAAATGTTGCAAATGAATTGCTGAAACTTGCAAAGGCACATAACGAAAAATTACGAAATGCAAATACAGCATTACATGAAATGATTGCACTACCTAAAGTTCCTTACGGTAAGTTATTATAACACAAATCCATCACTTTTTTTATATACACTTTATTTATTAGAATGTGCTAAATTACGAAAAACCGACTTTTCTGTTGTAAAAATCATTCACTTGAAGATTGATCTGTCATATATATTTTGATTTTTCTGAAATGTAAACGTTGTTTGTTACAGTCCCGGAAAGATTGCGTTTGTTACTGCGCGAAACGGAAAGCGATTATGATGGACGTATTGATACACTGCATTCTGGCAAAGATGAAAGTAGTTCACGAACTTCTCATATAACCTCTGGTCTCCTCAAAACGGAAACACTGGTTAATAAGTTTTCATTTAATATAAGTCACTTAGGACGTCAAACATTTTGCTATTAACGGATGTAATTTTTCGGATATATTTCTTCATGCTGTAGATGTATGTAATTGACATTGTCTTCATCTATGTCACTTCTCTTAAAGAAACATAGACTATTTTTTATTTTGTAGTATTAATTTCTATATTCATGAGTATTTTAGTATATTTAATAATCTTTAAAGTATTTTTTTGGGATTTTGCTAATATTTTTGTCTTAAAAAAAAAAAAATTTGTCATTGTGATATTCATATCATACATATAATCAAATTTTCTAGCCATTCGATGGAACTCAACAGTTCATAAAAACAGCACAGAGTGCAGAATTATATGCTGGTAATTCAAACCAAAAAACATTTTACTATGACGTGACACCATCAACAAGTACAGCGCGTCCAAGTTCCCTTGAATTGACGACTTCCTGCCCATCTTCCAGTTCTAGTTCAACTCCAGTTATTACTTCTGCTGATCAAGCCGTTCTTATATCGAAATCTGGCGTTCAAGGTTATTTTGGATTAAAATTTTTTGACGTAATATATGTTTCGGTTTTTTATCTTAGATTATGATTTCCTTTCTGTACTTCGATTCTCATGCCTGTTTGTTTCGATAACAGTTTGCATCTACAGTCTCTTAAAGAAGAGAAATTGATACAAAAGAGAATGTAGAATTTATCTTAATTCTTAAATCATGAATTTTTCCTTCGAGATGGAGGAGAAAAAAATTAAACTATGCTAGTTACAGATGATGAAGATTTCGATTCGCAGATCGCCGGAGAATGTCTAAGAACAAAAAAACGGAGGGTAAGACAGGTGATATTCATTTTCCAATGCTGAGTTATAATGAAAAAGTAAAGTTTTATTATCATTTCTTCGTAGTGTTAAGGTTTCATCCTTTTTCCAAAAATTTATTAGAAATTGAGAACAGATAAGTGTATTAAAATGGATTAATTATAAGTAATTTTTCTTTCAAATAGCAGATATTAGTGAAATTTTATTAACTTAGATTAAATTTGGAAAATAATAAAACCATCTAAGAGTAAGCATATCTCAAGAACAGAGCTCTTTATGAGTCAACTTCGATTTCATCTTTTTATTTCTCTTTTCCTCATTTGAGGTTTTGTAATTTTTACATTTTTCAATTTATTTTCTGCAATAATCTTTTTTCTTTTAGCGCGATTTATCTGCTACATGTGCACGAGTGCTACCATTCAGGTTTCAGTCACCAGCTCCGGGACAGAAAACTAAGCCTGTTCGCGGAAATCCTGATCGACGGTATGTTTATTGCGAGATTTATTTGTGAACCATGAAGATTCCATGAAAATTAAATTGTGTTGAACTTAAAATTATCAATTTAGCTGATCATATTTCAAGTTTTGATTTTGAATCCATTTCACTGCAATCTATGTAATTCTTTGATGAAGTATTCAAAACTACACTGATGTATTTGTTAACAGTGTCAGTAACGTTAACCATCATTAGACCGAAAATTAAACTAAAAGTTAATTTAGGACTTGAGATCAGCAGTTGAAAAATGGCTTCCTAAAGTGATATACGATATTCGGGAAATAACGAATTATTTTCAGTTCGACATTCTATTCATTTCAGACTACCAAGGCAATCATCGCCGTCAGATATCTCAAGTTTTACATCTACGTCGTCATTACCAAATAATTCAGTTATTGGTGCTCATCCTTCTCATTCTCCGACAGCACTTCCAACGCTTCGTACCATACCCACGAGTTTTTCGGCAATCAATTCCGGGAGATTTCATCAAGTCCCACATCTTTTTACCTCAGGTTTGAACATATATTGAAGTGTTTGTTTATCTACAATAATTGTGCAGTTTTATAAGGAAAAGGATGTACATCCTAGAAGTCGCATCGATCCCTTAATGGTGGACTGATGAATTAAAAGAAAAGAGCAGTAGTTAGTTAGATTATTAGGTATCTTTAGTTAGCTACCAAGTGTCTTTATGGACAGCTTGAGACCGAGATAGATAATCAAATTTAGATCTTCCACATTTCAGATCTCTTAAGATCTATAAAATAAAAACGTAGGCCTTCGTATGCTACAAAATTCCTGTGTGCATAACTTAGATTTAATAAAGTTGTATAACTTGAATGCAGTTAAACGTTTGATAAAATTGCTAATATATCAATATTATGAAGTAAAAAACTGTACTTTATTTAGGAGTGGTCATAAAACGTACTCGAACATTATCGTCCGGAGGGAATGAGTCTACAAACACTGATGGAAGTTCTGCCTTCCCTCGACAACTATCTAATACTCACCAGAATATATTTAGGATACAGCAACCAGTACAACGAGCGTATATAAGGTTTGAAGAGTTATTATATGTTAATGTGTGCATAATTCAGAATAGCGGAAATATCGTTCTAAATAATTCAAATTTTTGTAACTAAAAATCCGTACTATATTTATGTTGAGGATCAACCTATATTCATACGCAAAAAATGCTAGATTTTTCGCAAGTAAAAGATTCTATGCCAGCCTCATTAGTTTCATTTTCTTGTCCGAATATCCTCAGAATATCCTAAGCAGTCAAAATCGTGAACATCAAACAGAATTAATAATAGTCCCAAAAATCAAAGTAGTCATGAAAACAAGAATGTTGCTGCATAATTTTTTACTCAGAGCTGATATATCATAGTTGCAAGTGAACAGTCAAGCTCAGTATTGCTTTCTGTCACTGCTTTAAAATTTTTAGCAATCTTTATAGTGTAAAAAGCTTTCTCTGTCGGAACATTTATTGTGTTTCTCCATGTTATACTTTATTTTGCAGATCCTCTAGTGGACAACGGTTTTATACATCACCATTAGTATCAGCCTACAGTAATCCAACTCGACCTTATTACGGCAATCCAAATACCGTTGTTGGATTTATGCGTTCATTAACGTCGAGTTCGCCACGTCCCTCCTATACCATATCATCTGGACCAAATACATCATCTGCATGTCATTCACAGCCACAAACAATAACTTCGAGCGAAATTCAACGTTTAGTTGCTCAAGCTACTGCATCTGGTCACCCACAACATTATCGTACTGTTAGAAGGTTATTATATTTTAGTATTTAATTTACTAATGCCGTAATTTTATTTCATTAAAAAAATAGTTAAATTTTGTTACTTTTTTTAAAAACCATTTTTAAATCAGTAGAGATTTTTAGACCACCATCTCGACCGGTCGTTCTAACCAATTCATCACGCTTTTCTGGCACAAATCAACGTCAGCCATTTTCGACTTCCGTCGCACCGTTCATAAATTTAACAGGAGCAAATTCGTGTTCTCTGCAGCAACAGCAGCAGCTAACTGTTCATCCAACACTTCGAGTAACCCACCGTACTCTGCTACCATCATCTACAGTTGCAGCAGCAACACAGCGTACACACGCCGTTCCTTCAACATCACTTGATGATAACACCTCCCTCTCAGATAATATGGAGTTACAGCACGTTGATAGTGCTAACCTGGAATTCCAGCAATCCGATCTAGATACCATTACAGCTGTCAATTCCATAACACAAGGTTTTATTTCTGTTTCTAAATCAGAAGCGGTATAGGTTATTTACATTCACAAAGTAATGAAACCATCAGCCTCTCCGTTTTCATCAGCATTGAAACTTAAAATAATGAAACTGTATTGCATTCCATGATATTTCGCTTTCATTATGTTATATATATTCTTCAGTGTTTAATTCATGAATGCTCTAATTTGATCTATATATCTATATCTATATCTATATCTATATCTATCTATCTATCTATCTATCTATCTATCTATCT